GTAGTGACGTAGACATGTGGGGGCGTGTTAGAATGAGCCGTGTTAGGTAGGCGTTGTTAACTCTTAACTTTTATAAAGAATATCTCTTTGCAACTTTACAGATCTTCTTTATGCACCAAGAGCTTGTAACACTCCAAAGAGAAAGGAAAAATTGAAATCGCATCATATGACCCCTTTAAGGGTATTTAGTAAAGTATTTAGTTATCATATTATTTTGTAAAATTAATTATTATAAATATAGTCAAATGAATATGTGGCCATAAAATACTGATTTGAGATTAAATTTTATTTTATTATTTGAAAAGAAAGGCAGCTGTGTTATGAGAGTCATGAAACCGATAAGAAACCAGTCATATGTATGACAACTGTATGATAAACTTTAAAATGAAAATGAAAAATATAAAAATATAATGAATTCAAAATAGTAATAAAAATGACTAAAATTATACTAAAATAACATGGGTTCAAGAGAGCCTAGTAATAGTAATTCATATTTTTGTGGTTCATACCTTAATGCTTATGAAAATGCTGATTGGAAATATCAAGATGGAGAAAAATGCAGAGATAATCACAAGGATCCACCCACAGCAGCCCAGACCCCCCTTATTTTCACCTTTAACCACAGAAAATGGTGTCATTCTCAAAAACAGCACATGACTAACATGAAGTTAAATAGGTCAAATTGTTCAAGAACACGGTGCTAATTACATGTTTTATTCAATGAATACTGCATGTGATTTGATTGGTTTGGTTTGCAAAGAAACTAAAATTATCTAACTAGCAACTTATCAGTAACACTCATCGTAACCCTTACTAACAATCAAACTGTGAAGCACATCTTATCTTTTACCCTTAACCCTGAATAGAAGCACTTTACACCAAAAATTCAATATCTGCCCCCCACTGGATCAGCAATAACCCCAGTGTGACAGATAAGGCTACGCTAATTTTCCACACACACTACACACCCAACAATTTCAAACCAAGGCTATATTTTATGTTCATGCCCTTTCTATCATGCTCTTTTAAGAGAAAGATTAACATGTGTTTACATTTTACTTATCAAGTTATGATGATTTATAATCTGATGTGATTATTGAAATCAGCATGGGCTTTTGTGAATCTTTTTGTGAATCCAACATCAAGATTTTAGTACAAAATCATTAAATACATTTAAAAAAATGTGTATAGTGTTCTGTGGCTGTCACCATTTCCTTTTCACCATTTTAGCTTTTTTGAGGTTCCTTTAAATAGTCCTGCAGTTACTATACTGTTAGATATTGTGACATACCAAATGCATGGAACAACATTAACTTCAAGCTTAGTTAACCTTTCTTGTCTGTTCCTGGTGATCTAAACAGTTTCTGACTAGGAATACTAAAAATAACACAAACAGCTATTTGACTTCATATATGTACTGCATATTTCTTTCTTCCTCTTTCCCCATGCAAGTACAAGTGTGTATTGGTGTGGAAAATTGACTGCTTTGCAAACCAACCACTAATGCAAATGACAAATCTAACTGATGATAGTTAAAGAATATAACCTCAATCGACACCTCAATCAACATAAACACTCAAGTCCTGTAGTAGTTTTAGTTAAGACAATTACTATATTATATTCTCAGTGCATTACTTGTTAAAGTACAATGTTCATAGACAAAAGGGACAGAGGAAAAAAAACTTAATCTTACTGATTAGATTCTGCTTGCTCTGGGCTCCTTGCTCCATTTCCATGTGGGTTTGTTGCTACACGAGATGTGTAGAAGACGGCACTGGCTTTGTGGATGACTGAGAGATATATCTGCAGTGCAAAAGAACTTCCTATGAAGGGTGTGGCCTTGTCTACAATGCAATTAGAAGATCATTTACAGACTCTAATGGTCTTATGACACCATCCACTGTGCAATATGAGGCTGATGTTTGTTAATGAAGCAGTTATGATGATTGTGATTGCTCTGAAACATCCGCTATGTCTGGTTTTGGCCTAGATGCTTTATTCTTCAGCTATCAAGCAAGTGTGCTTTTCCCTATAAAGATTTTAATGCCTTTTCCAACTGGTTTTTAAAACAGTTTCTTGTTTTACTCTTAGTAAAACTAATAAACTGTTTCAGTGATTTATGAAAGTCTGGTAGGTAGATCAGTATAAAAAAAAATAATTAGTTATTTCAACTTTGCATATCAGTAAAGCATGATTATCAAAAGAAATCAAATGTTGCTGCTAAAGTATGGGATTTTTTTAGGCTAAATTGTATTTTAATAGAATTTTGATGATTACTATTTCTAACCCTTTTATAACTATATTTACTATCTAAATATTTTGTATTATCTATATCTAGTGAGGAATTTCATCCATTGCTTACATGCAGGAACTCATAGGTAGTATTGCGTAACACCAGGTAAGTGATCGAAGAGTCAAGTGGAAACTAGTAGTGGCAGGATTCTCATGATGTGGAAAAGATGAAAGTAATTATTTCACTCCCGCTATGTGACCAAAAGTATAAGCAGGGTAAATCAACGTCAAAAATAATCTATTTTATAGCGGTTCTCTGAAAAAGTTCACCAGCAAAGACCTCAATAGTTACTTCGCCAGGTTTTCTCGAACAATCAAAAAGGGGAAATCAGTAAATACAATACAAACTTCCTTCCAACACATTATCTATGGTAAATTAACATCACTTTTCTATAAATAAATACATAAACAAACAGCAATAGCAGCCATCTAAAAACCAATTGCAATTCACTAATTTCAATAATCTTTTACAATTAATCTGGTATTATTGGAATTCCGGCAGCAAATCATTTTGAATTTGTTTTTGTTTGTCTGTAGTGACTGCTTACATTGCATCTCAATTTAGAAAGTTGCTGTGGGTTTTGTGGTCATTCTGGAAAGTCCTGAACAGGTAAAGTGACGTATCTTCTGTTAACCAAAAAATTCAGAATAAAGACAAACAACAAAGAAAATCTAAGAAAAGAACTTTTATTTCATGATGCTGTTAGAACATACTAGACTAAACCTACCATATTCTTTATTATATTTTAAAATATATAATGAAAACAAACGTGAGTACTGTAGACTCTGAGATCTACATTGTATACATGTAAAATTCATGGTTCTGACCTTAATATCAGCAAATTGCACAAGAGTGTAAAATACGTAACACTAAAGTCATTAAGGAGTTGCAAAGCAACTCAACTTCTTTAGAGGAGATTGCAAGGTAACTTAGGAAAAAAAACAGAACAGCTACAGTACACAGATCAAACACCTAATTTACCCATTCTAAAAGGGTATTTACATGTACAGCATTTGACAGACATTTGAAAAGGTCAGTTAACTCACTACTTTCATGATACAGGGAAAAACAGTTTAGTAAAATTTAGACACCCACACTGTTTACATTTCCTCTAATGGTGTATATTTAAAAATTCGTTTTAGTATTCATTTTTTAAAATTATGATGCTTAAGCAGAGTTAAGCCCTAATTACTTCAAAAAAAAAAAAAAAAATACTAAAGAACAGTATTAATTTCATTCAAATACATATAACAAACAGCCCAGCCCTCAAAAGTCAATCAAAATTATGTTCTACTAATGCAGTGTGCTAAACCACAAGCTCGTCTTGATTTGAGACTTGTGAGTATCTTCTAAAGGAAATTATTGGAGAGTAGAGCTTCCACATTAGTTTCTGTATTTTACCCATAATTGTGTTATGACACACCTTTTTCCATGCAGACCACCATAGTCCACAATGTTCGTCATTGTTTACGCACACTTCACACAAAATGTCACATAGTTTTCGATATGCCTGCCCTCTGTAACTCACAATGAGTTACTGCCAGCCCAGTGGCGGATGCAGGCCTGGCTGCAGAGGGAAGCTCGAGCCTGCGGCTGCAGGGTAGTTAGTGAATCCATTTGGCTGGGGAGGGTAACTGTCAAGCGCTGATGCAGAGTGAGCCTGCAATCACACACACAAAACAAACATTAACATTTGCATAGAATAAATTCTTCTAAAAATCTTGCTAGCAATCATGATAGCAGGCATAGTAATAATATCCAGTAGCCCTTTAATGATCAAATAAAGAGCCATAGCCTCCAATCAATATATAGATACCTGCAAAAGAGCAGATTGCATGGTGGAGTTGTGAAGACCAGAGAGGGCAGCAGGAGATGCTGTCGTGGAGAAGCTGGGCATCCCTGGGGGGAAAGACAGGAATCCTGGAAAAGCTGCACCTCCAGGGGCCTGGAGACTACCAGTTAGCCTGTGTAACACATTAAGCAGCATTGCATAAGCCTATTAATAATACAATTCTAATGATTATCTTACTAACACAAATAGATTGCACTTATGTAGTTTCACAATAATCTATAAGACTAAATTCAAAGGCAACCATGCTATCTGAAAAGCTATCACACATATGTGCTCACTACAATAATGCTTCTTGACAGCAATAATTCACATGTTCTATATAAGCCTGTCGCAATAATCAATATATCGACTTATCGCGCAATATTTGTACATGACCTCAATAATTTTTGGTGACGCAATATATCGCCCATTATATTTACTTAAAAATGAATGCCACCATGTTTTTTACATTCCACTTGCACCTGTGTCTTTTGCAGCTTCTCGAGCATAATGTGGTGTAGTTGGTGCCAGTTCAAATTTAAATAATGTTTCTACAAAGTTTCATCTGCAGACATGATCTTGTTTAGGGATCTGTGCCTTTGTGCATACGGACATCTGACTGCCAAGTAGTGATTGTGTTTTTCAGCAATAGTGTGCACCCTTAATTTACAGAGAAAAGAAGGTCCGGGAAAAATCTGTAGATGGAAAAATCTCCAGACAAGTTCTTTGTGCATTTTTCTTTTTTTCTACTTGTTACTTTGCACTTTTTGTTAGAAAATGTTTATTTACTATTTATTCAGGTTTTTTAAGGTATCTAATATTTTGATACTTAATTTCCATGATCTAAATATTCTTAAAAATTTAAAGTTTGTTGTCATTTGGAAGTGTGTAGGCCTTCTTCCATTATTATGCTGTTACATTATGATTATATATTCAGTGGCATAAAATGGTCTTTAAAATGACAATAATATCGCTTATCGCAATTATTTCTGGGGCAATATATCACACAACAAAAAGTTGTTATCGTGACAGGCCTAGTTCTATATGTTGCTGACAGAATTGGTATCTAAACTTAAAGTTAATCAGCCATATGACCATAAAATATTTTTGTGGCTATGGTTTACTTTTGACAGTTATGACAGTTTTACCATATCTTCGAGGAACACATCACTCTGATAAAATGAAGAATAGAAAATATAGACTTTGGACTTTGCAGAACATTTCAACTGGAAAGTGTTTGACATAACCAGTTCAAGAACCCAGTGACCTCCCTTGCTGACTACCGTCTACATTGGCCTTCTAAGGCAGCATCCTGAGACAGAACCTCAAAAGTTACTTTATACTCATTTGATTTCAATAGGTTTTCCCATTACCATGTTGCTAAGCTTTCAGTACAATACTTAAAGGGTTAGTTCACCCAAAAATGAAAATTAGGCTGTGTTTTACTCACCCCCGAGGCATCCTAGGTGAATATGACTTTCTTCTTTCAGACGAATCCAGTCTGAGTTATATTAAAAATTGTCCTGGCTATTCCAAGCTCTATCATTGCAATCAGCGGGTGTTGCAGTGCTTCAGTCCAAAAGAAGAGAAATAAAAAGTGCCCATCCATAAAACAAAAATGTCGCACACGGCTCCGGGGGGTGAACAAAGGCCTCCTGTAGCGAATCGATGTGTTTTTGTAAGAAAAATAACCATATTTAAAACGTAATAATCAATTTAATCTAGCTTGCGCTCACTGTTGTAAACGGAAGCAGTTCCGGGCGGATTACGCATGAGGTCGGCTTTGCGCATGTGCCGCTCAGAAGTGACAAACGCGGAAGCGCAGTGGAGATATCAAAACAAAACAACGGTCAGTAATTAGAAGTACAAAACGAGGATTTGTAAAGAAGAATGTCAGAGGATTTCGATATAAGCCAGGAGGAGACTGGTTTTCCTTTGCTAAAGTAAGGAAACTTAGCTTTCTTTGCTCCTGTTAACAAACGTTGGTTTTCACAAACTCACCGGCGTATGCGCAACGCTGACCTCATACGTCATCAGCCTGGAGCTGCTTCGTGTACAACTGTTGGCGCAAGCTAGATTAAAGTGATTATTAAGTTTTGAATATGTATATTTTTCTTACAAAGATGCATCGATTCGCTACAGGAGGCCTTTGTTCACCCCCCGGAGCCATGTGAAACACTTTTTTATGGATGGGCACTTTTTATTTAACTTATTTTGGACTGAAGCACTGCAATACCCGCTGACTGCAATGATAGAGCTGGGAATATCCAGGACAATTTTTAATCTAACTCCGACTGGATTCGTCTCATTTTTGGGTGAACTAACCCTTTAAATACACATAATAACACACAAGTAGTGGATAAAACAGTCCATCTGTGATTAGACTGGACTGTATTTAGATACTTTTCAATATTGAATGAAATATATACATAATCATCTTAAAATAATCAAGCATAATTATACTTCCTACATTTTAGAGAAACCCTTGTGTTGTGCACCTATAATGCTGGCTAAGTAGGCAGCTCACTAGTTTTTGGAACTGTTATTTACATATCATTGACAATGTAGATGATCCATATTAGTTTAGCACAGAGGTGCTCAATCACGTTCCCAATGATTTACCTTCCAGCAAAGATCTTCAGGAGCACTTGATAATTACAGACAGATGAACTGAACTATGCA